CATTGGAAGCGCAACTGCCCAAAATACTTGGCCGAAAAGAAGAAAGCCAACGAAGGTAAATATGATTTACTTGTTTTGGAAACATGTTTAGTGGAAAACGATGACTCCGCTTGGATACTGGATTCAGTAGCCACTAATCACGTTTGTTCTTCATTTCAGGGAATTAGTTTCTGGAGGCAGCTTGACGCTGGAGAGATGACTCTCAAGGTTGGAACGAGAGAGGTCATCTCAGCTGTGGCGGTAGGGGAGCTCAAGTTGTTTACAAACAAGAATATATATATATTATTAGATAATGTGTACGTAGTTCCTAAAATTAAAAGAAACTTAATTTCAGTTTCTTGTTTGTTAGAACATTTGTATTCCAGTTCTTTCAATCTAAATGAAGCATTCATTTCAAGAAATAGTGTTAATATTTGTTCTGCTCTGCTTGAAAACAACTTATATGTGCTAAGACCAACCATAACTAAAGTAGTTTTAAATACCGAGTTGTTTAAAAATGCTATAACTCAAAATAAAAGGCAAAAAGTTTCTCACAAAGAAAATACCTATCTTTGACACTTAAGATTAGGTCACATTAATCTCAATAGGATTGGGAGGTTGGCTAAGAATGGCATTCTAAGTGAGTTAGAAGACGATTCTTTACCACCATGTGAGTCTTGTCTTGAAGGCAAGATGACTAAAAGACCTTTTACTGGAAAAGGTCATAGAGCCAAAGAGCCCTTAGAACTTATACATTCAGACCTTTGTGGTCTGATGAATGTTAAAGCTCGAGGAGGGTATGAATACTTCATATCTTTTATAGATCATTATTCAAGGTATGATTATTTATACCTAATGCAACATAAGTCTGAAGCCTTTGAAAAGTTCAATGAGTACAAGACTGAAGTTGAAAATCAATTAGGTAAAACCATTAAAATACTTCGATCCGATCGGGGTGGAGAGTATATGGACTTGAGATTTCAGGACTATATGATATAACATGGAGTCATGTCCCAACTCAGCCCCTAGTACACCTCAACAAAACGGTGTATCAGAAATGAGGAACAGAACCCTATTAGACATGGTTCGATCAATGATGAGCTATGCTCAGTTGCCTAACTCGTTTTGGGGTTACGCAATAGAGACTGCGGTTTACATTTTGAACGTAGTTCCCTCAAAGAGTGTTTCTGAAACACCCTTTGAGCTATGGAATGGTCGTAAAGCTAGTTTACGTCATTTCCGCATTTGGGGATGCCAGGTACACGTTTTCATGACTAATTCAAAGAAACTAGAACCTTGTTCAAAAGTATGCTTATTCATAGGTTACCCTAAAAAGACGAGAGGTGGTCTATTCTTCGATCCTCAAGAAAACAGAGTGTTTGTATCGACAAATGCCACTTTCTTGGAAGAAGACCACGTTCGAGATCATAAACCACGGAGTAAGGTAGTGATTAATGAGATTTCCGAAGAGGCTACAAAAACGTCAACAAGAGTTATTAAGCAAACTGGCACTACAACAAGAGTTATTAATCAAACTGGCACTACAACAAGAGTTGTTGATGAAGCCAGTACATCACGTCAGTCACATCCACCTCAACTATTGAGGGTGCCTCGACGTAGTGGGAGGATTGTGTCACAATGTGATCGCTACGTGGGTTTAACTGAAACTGAAGTTGTCATACCTGATGATGGCGTCGAGGATCCATTGACCTACAAAAAGGCAATGGAAGATACTGACAAGGACAAATGGGTCAAAGCAATGGACCTGGAAATAAAGTCAATGTACTTCAATTCCGTTCGGGAACTTGTAGATCAACCTGATGGGGTAAAACCCATAGGGTGCAAATGGATTTATAAGCGAAAACGAGACGTCGAAGGAAAGGTACAGACCTATAAGGCAAGACTTGTGGTAAAAGGCTACACACAAAGGGAAGGGGTGGACTATGAAGAAACCTTCTCCCCTGTAGCTATAATTGAGTCCATCAGAATACTTTTGTCCATTGCCACATATTATGACTATAAGATATGGCAAATAGATGTCAAAACTACTTTTCTGAATGGTAATCTTGAAGAAAGCATTTATATGTCTCAACCAGAAGGGTTCATAGCACAAGGTCAAGAGCAAAAGGTTTGCCAGCTTAAACAGTCCATATATTGACTGAAACAAGCATCTCGATCTTGGAACATAAGATTGGATATTGCGATCAAATCTTATGGTTTTGACCAAAATGTTGATGAACCTTGTGTATACAAGAAGATGTTGTATGTGGATGATATCCAACTCATTGGGAATAATGTAGGATACCTCACTGACATAAGGAAGTGGCTAGCGACTGAGTTCCAAATGAAGAGTTTGGGAGAAGCTCAGTATGTTTTTGGCATCCAAATTCTAAGGGATCACAAGAACAAAACGTTACCCTTATCTCAAGCAACTTATATCGATAAGATGCTACTTGTTCGATAATTGATGCAAAATTACAAGAAAGGCTTATTACCCTTCAGGCATGGAATTCTTCTGTCTAAGGAACAATATCCTGAGACACCTCAAGAGGTTGAGGATATAAGACGTATACCCATGCTTCAGTAGTGGGCAACCTGATGTACGTTATGCTGTACACTAGGCCTGACATTTGCTATGCAGTAGGGATGGTCAGTAGGTACCAATCCAACCAGGATATGATCACTGGACTGCTGTTAAGGGAATCCTCAACTATCTTAGGAGAACGAGGGACTATAAGCTTGTGTATGTCTCTAAGAATTTGATCCTTACAGGATACACTGACTCTGACTTCCAAACAGACAAGGATTCAAGGAAATCCACGTCGGGGTAATGACATTCACTCTTAACGGAGGAGCGGTAGTTTGGCGAAGCATCAAACAAGGATGCATCGCTAACTCCACCATGGAGGCTGAGTACGTTGCAGCTTGAGAAGCAGCAAAAAAGGCGGTTTGGCTTAGAAAGTTCTTGACAGATTTGGAAGTCGTTCTAAACATGAACTTGCCCATCACACTTTAGTGTGATAACAGTGGTGCTGTGGCAAATTCTAAAGAACCTCGAAGCCACAAAAGAGGCAAACACATCGAAAGGAAGTACCACCTTATTTGGGAGATAGTGCAACGAGGAGATGTGACGTCACAAAGATCACTTCGGAGCACAACATTGCTGATCCTTTTACGAAGGCACTCACGGCTAAAGTGTTTGAGGGCTATCTAGAAAGTCTAGGTATATGAGCTTTGTACGATTAGTCTAGGGCAAGTGGGAGAAATGTAATGGGTATAGTGTATGTCCTAGTTTAGTGTATTTTCCCTTTTGTCTTATGATAATGTACACCCCACTCAAGTATAGTTCAACTGGGGAGTTTGTTGGGTGTGTTGCTTTAAACTCATAGTTTGAATTTATGTAGAAACAAATGTGTATTCAATAAAATTTTATTCAATAAATTTGTTGTTGAATTTATAGCATTGCATTGTCCAAAATCCAATAAATTAAACATCCAAGGTTATTTTCTTGTAAATGGGGACAGTGTATATACTGGGTATATATTTGATATACTAGGTATATATTTGATATACTCCTGATATACGAGGTATATATTTTATATACCCCTGATATACGAGTGGATAATGTCTCGTGAATAACCTAAACGGTCTGTAGTATACGGTAAGGCTGACTGAGTACCTTATCTTGGCAACACTATGGATACGGCCCACTTTGTAAATGTTACAGTCGACTCGATCCAGGTCGTTCGTGTGGAGACATGCGAGTGGGGGTATCCTATACAATGAGTTTTTATAAGACCAGACTGCGGAATAGACAATCTTTAGATGTAACACCGTTGACTAACAGATTGCTATTTCATAGGATGACCAAACAACTCATTCTCAATCCTGAGTGAGTTATGAACTCCTACCCATGAGGGCTCGTCCTTTGATCTGTATGGGTGAGAGTGGCCCGAATTGTCGACTCAATATTCCTACCATTTTGGGGACGAGACCGAATGGGGAGCTGGGAACATAACTTCACAAGATAGACTTCCGGTTATTGGTCAGACCATTACCGGGTTGTTCATTAGAGGAGCAGTGGTATTTAAGGAGTAAGATGTAACTCAGGGGTAAAACGGTAATTTGACCCAACTTGAGTTACGAGCACTCGTAAAGGATTGACTTGTCATTAATGGTCGTATATCCGTGGACACGAAAATATTATGCAGTGAGAAGAGTGCAACTGCGGGTTTTTAGTGGAGTGACCCGTAGTTAACGAATGTTGATTAACTCAGTCAATCAGTTTGACCGATTAATCTCGTATCGTTGGAGCTTCTGATCTATAGGTCCATTAGGTCCACTTGCTAGCTCATAACGGCTAAAACGAGGATTAAGGTTTTGGAAGAATTTGAACTGTTTAAATTGCTCAAGGGAATATATGTATATTGATACATTATAATATATAGTTAATTCTAAATTAAAACTATATATTATGACAGAAATTATTTGAATGAGATTCAAATAAAATTAACATGAGTAAGATTCATATTAAAATTATAGGTTAAAAATAATGTGCATAAGATGTACATTACGACTATAGGTTATACGAGAGAGATGCATTTTAATAAGATTCAAATATATGGGTTTAACTAAATATGTGATATTTAATTAAATTTTAAATAATTAATTGTTAATTATTTATTTAATTAATAATAGATTTAATTAATTAATTATTAATTAGGTTAATAATTAATATTTTATTTTATTTTATTAATAATTAATTAATGAATTATTAATTATTATATTAATTATTAATTAAAAACTCCCCTGCAAAATTGTAGGGGAGTGGGAAGTTGGTGGGAAGTTACCCCACGTCACATTTGCTTAAACTGTATAGAATAGTTTTGTACATTTCTTTCTTCCTCTACAAGAAAAACCCAGCATACTCTCTCCATCTCACACTCTCTCAATTGTCCCTCTCGTTCCAAAGAAACGCTCCAACAAGCGTGTTCTTGAGACCCAAAAGGATAGCTCAGAAGATTCGGTGGTGGTGTTCGGGTGGAAATTAACTTGAAGAAGAGTTCTTCAAAGGTAAGAAAAGTTCTTTCCCTTGTATTTTCGTTATTAGATGTTTGATTTTGTTTCTCAAAAATCATGAACGATGATCCGCTTCCGCTCCGGGATTCACATCCCGTCACTATCATCTTCTCTTGAAGGCTAGAAATTTTCGTAGATGGTATTTTGCTCTTGCACCCATGGTTGATTGTACTCTTCCTGAGGCTGTATCGAGAATTCTAATGGGAATACATGCTCATGTGGATGGATACATTAAGGTCGATGCTCTCGCCAAAAGAAATTTGAATGAGCCCTCCAATCTTGATTGTGTAGATTTAAATAAGGGTTGAATTCTTGTTGGTTTCTCGGTTGACCTAGAAAATAGAAGGATGAAGGATTATATGGACAATATTCAATTGAATGACAAATATCATCACAATATAAACAACAAAATTGATTAACAGGAGCTTTTGGCATGTTACTTCCTATTGGAAGATTGTGCATACATTGATACTTCATTCCAAACACTCATGCTTGTTGTTGGATCAGTACAAATAACCTCTTATTTATTATCATTTCCTTCTCTTTTCAGCTTTTCTTTTGTTTTCTTGACCTCTATTCTCGCCTCAACCTCCTTAGGGACTCCTTCAAGAAAGGCTTCGTGCTAAAAAAAATTGGCCCTTTAAGGTTAGACATAATAATTAATCTCAAGGAATAAAGGCATGCAACAATCACAATATGAAACACTTCACTTAAAAGGAAAATGATTTTGAAAACTTAAGTCCCCGGTCACAAGTAATAGTTGTTGGGACTTTCTCTACCTGTAAAAAGAATAGAGACTCGTGCAAGCGCACACGATCACAAGTAATACTTGGGAGTAATCCAAGGTCGAATCGTCAGGGACTTATTACTTTCAAAACAGTTTTTAAGAAGTGAATGGTTCAAATATGCAATTCTTTTTTGTGAAGTAAATAGTGATGAAACGTTGTTGATTGGGGTTTTAACTATCAAGCAATTTAATAAAACTCAACCTCTTTTCTTCCTACCTTAATTTTCATGCAAAACATGGAAAACACATTTTGTTGGAAAAATGCACCAAACACAATTCTGGCTTTTCTTGGAAAAGTGAGTTCTACTCTTTCACTATCGCTTTTGGTTGCTGTACAGGCTACGATAACCTACAATCATATGTCTATGTGTGATTACAATCCTAGAGAATATTTATCAACTCATTTGCATTATGGGTCAGAGGGCCTATGTCTAAAACCATGTTTTATGCGCTTATATCTCGGTCGCATCCCATATTGGTTTCCTATTATTTTACATAACTCACCCTTCTCAAGGTTGGGCTTTAGTTTATAAATCAAAATCCCACTGGCCAAATTGAAAAAAGATGTAAAGCGATGTTTTTAGAAACCAACCCAAAAAACTGCCAGACGTAATCTGGGCAAAATCCCGAGCGTGTTGAAAATCAAATCATTTTGACTAAGGCATTACACAAAGAGGTTGATAACTGATTTAGAACATTATTAAAGGAAAGAAAATGCACGAAAACATAATGGAAGTATTTTTCATTGAATTAAAATGAATAAACGAGTCGTACAATGAGTTCTAGCTTGACCCTATTCTCTATCGAGTGTGAGGGGAGTGTAGAGTCCTCTTTAGTGATTCGCTTTTCCGACTTAATAAGCTCAACCTTGGCTTGAGTAAAGGTGGACCGATGAGACGCACTCAGCAGATCCTGAGGCATTGCACCTCAGCTAGGTACTCCTGTTCCCGAGTCCTCTTACCTCCAACTCATCCCGCAAGGCCAGGGATATAGCATGAAAGCGACTGGCTAGATTATATAAATAACCGAGAGAGCGTATCAAGCGAGGAACGAGAATCATGAGAAAGAGAGGAAATGAGGGATATCTCTCATGAATAGCATCAAAAGCTCCATCTCGAAGCTCTTGTCTAAAATGAAAGGGCTGAGGGATAAGCCCATGATCGAAAGAATGACGAGCCATCTCCAAGACACATTCCAGAATGTAACCCATATGCTGGTAATGGTTCAAATGAGTGACTTCATTGAGTTTATAGAAGCAAACCCGTGTAACGTCTTCCTCTTGCTCAGGGGGGAAGCCCCCAACCGAGGGTTGTAGGAGGGAAGATCCCCAAAGGCCTCGCCCTCGATACGTGTAGCATCCCCAACCTCCTCTATTTCTTCACCCGGACTGGAAGCGTCTCTAACCGCCAGCACTAATCCTTGGTCAACGAGAGAAGGATCCTGAGAGGTTGTGTCACTCGAACTGGGCACAATAACCTATATAACTCAAAAGACCGATTCCTCAGCAGGGAGGA